CAGGCATCAAGGGCTTGTTGACCAAATGTTATGATAATCGTGGTGCTGTAATTCCCGGTATGGAGAATATATTGGATCCAACGAGCACAATTACATGGGACACGTTGACTGCTCTTTTTGAGGTTTTACTCGTTCATGCTATTTATTTCTGACTTGTAAATGAGACGTTTCGGTTGAGGAAGCGCAAGGGGCTGCTGACTTGCATCTTAGGCAGGTTTTTTCTTCACCTCATATTTTCCAAGTTCTCGATTCAATCATCTGCATTTTGCTTCTCCTTCGCCTCTTCCTTTTAATTCCCACTTGCTTTTGGTGCAGTTTATTGCTCCCCTACCTCCCTAAATTTTGTTTCTGCTGAATTTTACCCTTAATTCCCACTATTTTTGGTTGTGAGGAAGCCATTATCAGTAATCTGTCTTCCTCATTTGTATGCGCATCATTGTCACCACCGAGGCACAATGCTGTTGTTGCTTTACATTTTTAAAACAGTTTGCGCAGTCCAAGCAGTCACCGAGCAGGGACAACTAAGTCTCTCCAGGTGAGAACTGCCTTCATTCCCACCGTTCTCCCATAGTAACGTTCAGCTTATTAATTTCTAACTTCTTTTATTTGTTACATAGGAATGGTAATAATTTACATCCCCATCGTTGTACTGAAGGTCCAATTGTGGCGCTGATTTGAAACGCATACATCTTAATGATCGAAACGTCTTAATCTCAGCGAAATTATTAGTTTTTCATATGGTTTTTAGACTCTAGTATTTAATTTTTCAGTATATTTCACTTTTTTAGTAGCGCTCATAAAACTGCGGGGATTCATTTAGTATCCTAATGTCCAGTATCAAATAAATATTAAAAATATATGAAGAACGAGGTCAGAAATTATCAATGGTAATCCGCTGAATGCAGGTGCTTTCATTTTTCCACAGAAAAAACAATTTAAGCAAAAAAATTCAATATTTTTGCATTTCAGTAAAAAATTACTTATCAGTTTCTTTTTGAATCGTGTATCAGCGAGCTTTCAGGAAGTGTTTTCAACATTCCCGGATAATTATGTGCATCTCGGTGGAGATGAAGCAAACTTTTGGATGGAGCCGTGCTGGTTAAAAAATCCCAACATTAGCCAGTTTATGAAGGTATTTATTGTGTTTTTAAAATATTGTTAAAAAAACTAAGTTCGTCAACATGACCAAGACAGTTCGAGCTTGGGAGTGACGGTCGTTGTTATGCGTTTTTTGCAGCAGTGCAATGCGAAAAACGCATATTGACGAGAGGTTGTCTGTGTGT